AATCTGGCCAGTAATTCGTTGAGGCCGATCTCCGCCTTTTCTTGATAGGTTTTCATGCTGGCGTCAAATTTTGCCTCCGTTTTTTCTTGGCTAGCTCTGATTTCCTTGAGAAGCATTTCCATCATTTGCTGCGTCTCCATTTCGTAGCAGTAAAATTCTCTGAGGCGTATTTAATCTCGTAAAAATTCTGACACCAAATTGTCACGTGTCTTGAGTTTGAAGCTCGTTGGTCACGTGTGTAAGTTCAAATCCCACTTCTGACACCAGTGTAACGTGTATCTCGTCACTGAATACACTGTAGAGATGGTTAATTGGTTTATTTAACAATCTACAAGTAACAGCTACAATTACTTATCACAATGTTACATGTTTCCACAGTTTACAAACCCTACAACAAAATCTCTTCACACTATCTTGAAGAGTCTTCGCGTATTAATAACGCGGGAGCTACACAAGTCTCCCTGAATTACACACTNGGAGCTATGTATCACTGTATCACACGCTCCCAATTACACAATCACACACACGTCCGGTTCTTCTTTCCACGACAGCTGCTATACTCCAACGGTACTCGGCTGACTGGAGAACTGTTGATAACACACTCGGCGACTGTCACTTTACGACTCGACTCGGCGACTGTTACTTTACAACTCGGAAATGTCTTCCGTACAACTGAAGTCGCCGACTGCTACAGTAGAACTGACTGGTAGCTGCTGTGCAGCTCACTTATATAGCTGCAGTGCTTGCCTGTTGCGTAATGAGTGCCACGTCACAGTAGGAAGTTGATTACGGGTACGTAGCGTTGCGCGTTACGTCACCGCGGAGGGGGTGGAGGGGTGATGACTCACCCGCCGCGTCACTGCTGGTGGGGGGGTTCTCCTTTGCGCAACATGTCACAATATGGTACAATGTGGGGGGCAGGACAGAATCCTGTGGCACTTCTGCTTTTACATCCCTTGGCACAGACATTTCTCCTTTGACCATGGCTGCATTTTCTGTGAGAAAGAAAAGAGCTAAAAAGCTTGCTTATACTTATCAAAAATTCTAAATTGGATAATTTATACAGCAAGCCAAGGACGCATGTTGTATCAAAGGCTTTTCAATATCCAAGAATACCACAGCCATAGACATGTTACTGTTGAAATTTAATGTGACATGGTCCATAAACCTTGGAAGAAGTGAAGGAGCAGAGTGAATGAGGCCCAATAAGAAAGAATGAACAGAGACGGAGTGAGTTATTTATAAAATACCATCTCCCACAGTTCTTCTATTGTTGTGTACATATCCATTACTGCAGATAGGTCTTTATTCGGCCATTGCCTCACAGCGGGTAATTGGTAATTTCTAAGTTACGAGAGTAAGCTATATGGAATTAATTCACTTTCTTCTCATGATTTGTGTAACCAGTTTGCAGACTGGCTGTGGGCCTGTACAGATCTATGGGCTTTATGTAGCTCCTGTATGTACTTGTTATAGTGATAGTAACAGTAACCCATACCTTGGCTGATGGACCTACACCAGAATTTCTGAAGCTCTGGTCAAACCTGACTGAATCTCTGAGGTTGGAATAAGAAGACACTATATAACAGCATTCTGATGCCAATGCTGTCATAGAACATGCATGCAGGGTACTCATCGCCATTGCCAGCCTAGCAGGATGTAACCCTTCGTCAGTCAGCTAAAGTCCAAAATGGGTGAAGATGGACTGATTATAATGGGGCTAAGTTGTCAGCCTTGCACAGTACATAATATGCAATTCTAAGTGCAATGTCCTGTTTCATCAAGGAATTACGTATAATTCTTATTTCAAATAAACTAATCCTACTGCTAATAGGTCACAGGCCCAGATATAACGGGTGACAGAAAGTGACAATAACAGAGAAGGGCTGACATGCAAGTAAGGCTAAACCTTACACAGAATTTACACACAAACATCTGATAATGCAACAAAATGGCATGGTGCTTTAATATCACAAAATGAAATAACCACAATTACCAATTGTCAATAGATTTTCCGTCAAGTGCANCACATTTATTATGTGTGGATGTATATAGCTTTATTACTTCTAATGAAGGAAGAACTCTGGGGCATGATGCAGAAGACAAAGCAAAGCAGATGCATGGATTGCTAAAAATGAAACACATGAGCAATGTCTGCTTTACTTCTGTAAGATAACCAATTAGTTCATGTAAAATAAACATCTCAGCTACAGCAATGTGGGCTGCTTTAAAGATGTATTATCTAAAATCAACACTTTCCAATAAAGTAAATCTACTCTGAAAGATACATGATTTAAACTTGAAGAAACTGTGCTATAGAAGCACTCATTAACATTATGGAGAAGTTGGTCAGTTGATGGTATCAGGTGATGAATATTCCAAAACAAATATTTCTTCAATTGTTAATGGTTCTAATATCTGTGGAATATGTAAAACATCCTCTCATATTAAAAAAGTAAAATTTACATATCACAGAATAATAGGCCACAGCAGCAATCTACTTGGATCTTATTATTCATAAAATATTTTGGTATTGGTAGAGTTAAAGCAGTGTGCATAGACAGCAGAGCCACACAGCAACCTGCTGTATAGACTCTGCAGCTCTACAAAAAGAATTGTGAAGTAGCAGAGATTTAAGAAGAGAAGCCCAAGAAATGACACACATGCATTACTCTCCTATGTGTTTTGCCATGGATGGTCAGTCAGCTCACCTCATTTTCAGTCTTCATCAACGGGTATCTTATTAACAGTGGATCTTCATCCTCTTTCACATCAATCAGCTGATTTTCATTGTGACAAGATGTTGGGTATGATTTGCCATCAGGATCAGGCTCAAGTTTCACAGCATCCATCTTCTGCTGTTGAGCCACAATCATATTAATCATAATGGAACAGCTCCACTTGCTTATCTGCACTGTGATACTCATAATTCACAATTTGTTTACATCCATAAACTGTTACACAAGTACAATTGGACAAGTCAGTTTAATCCATCTAAAACACTACAACTGGATGACTGAGGGACAAGAGTTTGAGTCCCGGTATGGTCAAGAATTTTCTCTTCTCTACCTAGTCCAGACCAGCTCTGGGGTCCACCCAACCTCATATCCATTGGGTACCAGGGGCTCTTTCCCTGCTGGTAAAGTGGCCAAGGCCTGAAGCTGACCACTAACCTCCAACTAGTGCTGAGGTAAAGAAAACGTGGATCTATAAATCTACTCCCCCATACGCCTTCATGGCGTAGTGCTTAATAAGTTAAGCACAGCAACAACGTTACCTTTTTATTAAAGCACAATAGACCACTGTAGGTCGCAGTGCAAGGGCCGAGAAGGCCTACCCCTCATACATTCATTCATACGTTTTTATTACAGCAATACTGACAACAAAAAGAAAATGCAATACAAAAGAAGCCAACATTATTTCTGGGAAAATGGAGGAATTCAAATTGTTCACGTCTTCAAACAAAGTGAAAGAACTGCATTCAATAAAGAACAAAATGTGCTGATAAGTACACTCAACTACAATAGATAAATAGGTGTGATAAGGTGCAAACAGTCTAGCACTAGTTTGTCTTGGGGATGGTGACTTTCACTTCCTTAAAAAATAAAGCATTTCAGTACTTTTACCTTTATGAACTGAACAAAAGATTTGTCAGTCAGCATCCACCTGGATTTCCAAAAAAGTCTGAATAGTAATAAAGAAGAGAAATTCCATAAACACAACTATTGCAAAGAGCTGAATTAATTATGTACAATCCTTTATTATGCAACATGTTTCAGGTTATTTTGACTTTTCAATCTAATGGAAATGAGCTATTCAAAAGAACACTCTCTCTTACATTTGTACACAAAAAAGGCCCTGTGTATGTGACAAGCTGAATCGCTTTCACGACGTACAGTTCTCCAAAACGCCAAGAAAGAAAATATGTTACCTGCATTTATCAACTGACGATTTTATAAAATACAATTAAAAAAAAATCTAAACTTCTGTTACAACTTCGACAGTGACCAAATACAATATTAATCTGCCACTGTTTCTATTTACATTATTCTTTTGAGTAACGAAATCATTTCATAGCTTTTCTAACCTCGAAAAACTGCGGGCCTCAGAGTCTTGCTCAGTTCCATAGCACAGCACAAAAATTGTTTATCTGTAAAAATTTTGTGCTACCAACTCTCAGTAATACGTTCAAACTGGAATCGTAGTATTTACACCAGTAAGGAGTCATAATAAAGTACTGAATCGCGTGTATATTAGCTTCTGATTGTACGGTCACTGAATTATTCCTTCGCCATCCACCACGCTGTGCTCTAACCGCTTACAACCTTCTCCAATTATCTCTGCATTCAACATTCCTCTCTGCCTTCATTGATCCACGCATCTAACATAGCTCAAATCAGCTCAAAGCATGGGCCGCCAGTACACCAAAGAAAATTCTCTAAATCATGACATGAACGAATTTGTTCCTGTGATCAACGAATTTAAGCACTACGCCATGAAGGCCTATGGGGGAGTGGATGTATAGATCCACATTTTCTTGACCTCGGCACTAGTTGGTGGTGAGTGATCAGTTTTATGGCCCGGCCGCTTTACCTCCGGGGAAAGAGCCCCCGGTACCGTTTCGATAGGAGGTTGGGTGGACCCCAGAGGCGGTCTGGACAATTTGGAGAAGAAAAAATTCTTCACCCTACTGGGGCTCCAACTCCAACTCTACAGTCTTCCAGCCCGTAGCCAGTCGTGATCATAGCATGAAATCCATCATAAATTCACCAAGAAGTTCGAATTATTAATAAAATTATACATAATACTAACTGCAACCATCAAAATTTGAATGTACGAGTATATGTCTGCATCTTTAAACCTTTTTATGGATTAAATTAATTAGCTTCTCTTAGAATTAACTGAATTAGCTTGTAACCAGGATAGCACCTTCAGTATAGTGACTGGCAAGAGCTGCAAGGGTTTGGAGTTTCAGTCTTGGCAGTGACAACATTTTTTCCTCTCTGAGTTTTCCAGACTTGTTCTAGGGCTCACCCAGCCTTGTTCTAGGGCTCATCCAGCCTCCTATACAATGGGTACCGGGATCTCTTTCACCTGAGGTAAAGCAACCTGGGTATGAAGCTGACCACACACCTGTACCTACTGTTGAGGTCAAGAATAAAATTTAAATTTGCTTAGTGGAGGGTGGAGTCCAAGTGGGTCCACTCAGCACGGCGGCCACTGATTGGCCTATTGTAGCCTGTCCCGGGTGATTATGATGATGGAGAATTTGGTGGAATGAAGATTGGCAGGAGAAACCGAAGTACTTGGGGAAAACCCGCCCCAGCACCACTATGTCCACCACAAATGCCACGTGACCAGACCCCAGATTGAATGCGGGTCGCCACGGTTGGAAGCCAGCGACTAACCGCTTGAGCTATGGCGCGTCCCACAAGGTCAAGAATAAGTGGATCTATACATCTGCTCCCCCAAATTTTGAGTTCATGTGATGGAAAAGTGAAGGACAAGACCAGAAATTCTAATGCAAATATATTTTATAATATGTTCAATATTCACTGGGTTACTTTGTTCCTTATACATGTACTACTTCTTCACCCAGCCATCATATCATTTAGATATGCTTCTCATCAACAGAATTTTCAGTGCCATCAAAATAGAGTTTCATGTCCTGGACAGTCTATATATTCCTGTGCAGGGCAGTTCACACTGTGGTGATTTTTGTATTACAGATGTCAAGATTCCAGTGTTTTGGTTTGTGGCAGTGTGTAGTTTGGTAGATGGATGCCAGTGTTTTGGACAGTCTTGCTGTTTCTATTTTCTATCCTCAAAATGGAGGCAGCAAGTTCTGCTTGCAGTCTGCTACAGATCCATCACCATAAATTCTGAACCAACAGGCTCCAAAGGACACTGGTTTAAGCTTTAGTTTCAGGGGAGAATCACATGTTGCTCTCACTCTCAGACATGGGGTGTCTACATTTTCTTCCTTCAGAGAACTTATAAAAGTAATAAAATCTATATTTCCCTAATTTTATGGTGATATACCAAGCTTCTAATTGGGTTTGTTAAATTGCAATGTGAACATGGTTTCAGATTTATTCTGAGCATTGCTATTGATATGTCTCTTCCTCTTTTCTCTCAAGATGTGTTCAATTTTAAGTGAGAAAATGTAAACCCCAATTATCTGATTATAGGAAGCATTCTGGATGCAGTTACAGTGCAGATGGAAGTGAGACTCACTGACAAAGATGGACTTCAATAGGGAGTATGCCCACACATACACTGGAAGTTATAATGAAGCATACATCTTATTTTATCACAATTTCTTGCACAATTGGAAACGTTTAAATATGATGTTCTGGGTTTTCTGTAGATAGGATCAAAACTGACTACAATTAAACTTTCCTGGTACCATTTAGTGTACATTTCCAATAGAAAAGAAAGAAACACTGTGGCTTCAGTCCGCAAGCAAACTATACTGACCGAGCGACCACTGCTTGTCAGCAAAGTTAGTGCCAACTTTAGTAGATAGAGGGTGTTGCGTGGTCAGTTCAACAAATCCCCACAGCCGTTAATTTTGGTTTTCTAGACTGGAGCCACTATTTCCTTGAAATAGCTCCTCAGTTTTCCTCATGAGGCTGAATGGACCCTGTTCCAGACCCAATACTTCTCAGAAAATCTGTTAGCACCAGGAATCGAACCCAGATCCTCTGGATCTGTAGCCAGGAACGCTAACCACTAGACCACAGAGGCAGGCTTGTACATTTCCAGTACCAAGTTTAATCACAATACAGTCTCTTATTTAGGATAAGAAATAAGCAGACAGAGATGCCTTGCACAGTGTGTGCACAGTATTCATACGTGTACTGCACAGGACACAGAAATATTTTCAGGTGCTGGTCTGGTGTCAGTGGTCATATGTCACTACAGTGATGGTGAATTCGGTGTCAAATGACTGATGTAATTAAACCTTGTGACTCTAGACCAACCTGTAATATAACAAGTATAGAAATAAAATTACCAAGTACTCTAAATATTAAGACATTAAATTTATTCACTGTGTACATAATAAAAACTGCTACAGAACGAAGAATTGTCCAAAGTTACATTGAGCATACAAAGTGCTGTAGTATTTCATTCATCACAAAAGATGAAAGACTCTCTTGGAAATTGGTGTGGATGGATAAATTAAAAAAGGAGACTTCCAAACAAGTTATTTGTGCAATAGTAGTACTTGTATTCTGGATGTGAGAGATGTATTAATTTTGTTGTGTTTCTGGATAAGGAAGATATTTCCAATATGTCTGCGGCTATGGACCATAAGAAATATTTCAAATTGAGTAATGATGTTCACATTTATGCCTTCAAGTGAGTGGCACTTACCTCAACATATGGCTGTCTTTGTTGTCAATTTTGGATTTGCAAATGAGCTATATGCTACTCCTGATCACAGTTTATATTTTAAGAAGCGCAGACCTATACTTACCACTTTCTGAAACAATAAATATACGTATGTTAATTTAACTACACTGTCAGTGAAAATGATATCTACATTACCAAAATTGATAAGAAGTCTAGTAAATATTATTGTAAATTTCAGCTTAAGAAGATCATAAAACACTGAAATTTGTTCACAAAATAACTGACTTTTAATTAAATATACATCAGGCTAGAGCCACTTTACTCCAGGAAGTGACCGTTACTAACTCTGTGGAAGGGTGGGTGCACTGCAGAGTTGATCTGAATGTGGTAGTAAAGAAAATAATATTAATTCCCACTGGGAACTACACTATCCATATATTGTATCTAACATTCAAATGTGAATACCCACACGCATGCCCAAACACATAAAAGAGTGTTTTCTTCTTCCAGCAGGTGTATATACTGACAACCAACTAATGCACAAAGGCAATCTTATAAAATTTTACACATGTGTGTGCATTTTATTTGTCAAACTTGAGGATAAAAACATGCATGAGACTACTGACAAACACATTTAAAAATGTTTTGTATATGTAAAAACAGATGCACACAAAAGGTCATACACATGTGCAAGGGGGCACACACAAAGAGCAAAGGTATTTGATGGCAATATTACAATGGGAATGTCTGTGCCAAAGTTAATGAACAGCACCAAATTCAGAGGGACATAATGTGTAGAGATAAACTGCTTTCAATATTGCTTGGTTTCTGACCTAAAATATTTAGTTCTATGACCATGATTTGTCAATGGCTACCCACTGTTAATGCTTAAAAAAGACTCCAGGAAATTATAAGGCTGAAGACACTAAAATTATATGACTTTGGAGGGTGATATTGATTAGTTATCAATATTCTGTTTAATTGATACATTTCTTTCAGAAGCACTTATAAGTAAATATGTTACTGTCGTTGTTTATGGTAGGTAACTTTCAGTTCACTTAATCAACAATTTTAATCACACAATGATATAGAGACTTAGGCAAAGTCTTTTGAAATGGCCTTCCAGTATATTCTGTTTTGGGATATTTTAAAAATATCTGCCATGAATGATTTTCACAAATCAAACACAAAATTTGTGACATGAAACTGATGAGATTCATGATGTCTAGGAGGAGGAATTTTACTCTATGAACTGGCACAAGAGAATTCCCTGCAAATAGAAGATTACAAGACATTCTGGGATACAAAGGTGCCATTTCATGAAATTTGTTACAAGATTAAATGTTAATGTGTTACTGCATAGTACATTTAATTAGGGAATTAGCAGTGAACAAAACCTGTCACCCAACAAACCATTGTATTTAAGATTTGAGGCTTTCACGGCGGTGACTATGAAGAAAGCAGTCTTCTGGGATTTGGCACCGTGTNTTTATAGTTTTCAAAATGTATCTTGGAATGCCATGTTTTTCTATGATGGAAATAATTTCTGAACACAGAGTCAGTATTTGATATTGAATCTTTCAAGTAAGTCTGAATAACATAGTCGGTATAGCGACAGCCTATAGGCTGGACAACTGAGGGTTCGGAGTTTGAGTCCGAGTAGGGTCAAGAATTTTCTCTTCTCCATGTTGGGGTCCACTCAACCTATCCAATGCATAACAGGAGCTCTTTCAAAGGGGGTTAAGCGGCCATGGCGTGAAGCTGACCATTCAACTCAAACTAGTGCCAAGGTCAAGAAGATGTGGATTTCTACATTCACTCCCCCACACACCTTCATGTGAGTGGTATAATTTTCTGTTATTCTAACTACTTATTTTTCACAAACTATTTCATTCTACAGTTTCGTGACTTCAGTGGTTTTTCTCAAATTTAACCACTAAATCACAGCAGAAATAGTAGGGCCAATGTTCGGTGTTTTGAGATGACTTTAGTTCCCAGGATGTTAAATAACTAGATCCTTGGAAACTTCATAGTCCCATACAGATTCTTCTATCACATATAAATTTTGATCTGGAAAATTATACTGATACAAAACAACAACAGCAACAGAACATAGTGTTGTCCCTTCCCTACAGTTCTGATTATCTGTGCCATTTCTATATTCTTGTTGGGTTGGGGACATTTTCAGATTTCTGATGCTGGCAATTTGATAGCTTTACTGCTTTGGGCCACGTTTTTGATGTTGTGTATGAATTCTTTTCACCTATGGATGAAGCATTCACACTAACAATCAGGTCTGAAACTTCATCACAGTGGTGTCTTTGATTTGAGGTGGAACCGCATCTTTGGCACAATCTTCTTTCTCTAGTGCTGTAACAATCAATTAGCATATCAAACTGTTTTGTACTGATGTGTTCTTGTGCCCTTTCTTTTATTGATGATGAATCCTGTTGTAGATTGTTCAGTGTTACACTCTCTAGCACGTTGTTTGGAATATCACTGTCATTAGAGTTCCTGCTGAGTGATCTGAATCGCTTCTCTTCATCATGGTTGTTAATGGACCTGGAAACCAATGCTACTGTTACAATGTGACCATGCAGAACTTGTGTTGAGCCTACATCCAAAACAGACAGTGTATGCACGTTACTCAAGTTGTCCTCAAGCCACTGCTTTGGGTGGTCAGGTGCTACAAAGGAATGACAATCATATGTTTCTGGATTATCATGTTGCAAGTATTGACTACAAATTTAGCTATTTTACTGTGAACTTTCAAGAAGAATCAAATAAGAAAGAATAATGTACACATAATCTGATAGTCAAAACAACAGTGTTAGAAAGGTACTCTTCATAATAAGACCCATACGTTATAATTTCCTTGTCTAAAACTGCGATATTTTGATTTTATTTTTAGTCTAAATTGTAAATACACTTTACGTCACACTCAAATGAAAATCTGAAGTTATTTTTGTTTGTATTAATTACAGGGACTCAGAGCATATTATCAATATTTGTAATCCCTTGCAAGGAAATAAAGTGAATCTTTTAACTGTACTATGACATGATAAATTTGCCGAATCTTGGAAGTGTCACAGAGGCGCCCATTCCTGTGCAGCAGTTTGTTCAAACATAGCTCCACAGCAACAAACACACACACAAAAGTTGGAGGTAGCATTTTCTAATCAGTTGGCAACAACTACCTACCTACCTACCTACCTATCTACCTACCTACTTAATTAACTAAGCCAGCAAGTAAGTAAGTAACTAAGTAACTAACTAACTAACTAACTTACTGACTGACTAAATATATGTAGCCGAGTCCTTCTTGAGAAGCCACCACTTGCTCTGTTCCTCAAGGTTTTCCCAAAATGTTATGGAACCCAAAGGTTTAGTACCATGTTCACAAGAGCCCTCCACTAGTCCCTATCCCGAGCCAGATCAATCCAATCCATACCTTCCCATCCTGTCTCTCTAAGATCCATTTTAATATTTTCCACCCACCTACGCCTTGTTCTTCCCAGCGGACTCTTTCCATCTCGCTTTCCAACCAGTATCCTATATGCATTCCTATTCTCTCCCGTTCGTGCTACATGCCCTGCCCATCTCATTCTCCTTGACTGGATCATTCTAATTATATATGGAGAAGAGTACAAGTTATGAAGCTCTTCATTATGCAGTTTTCTCCAACATCCTGTCAATTCGTCTCTCTTCAGTTCAAATATTCTCCTCAACACCCCATTCTCAAACACCTTCAGACTATGTTCCTCCCTTAATGTCAGAGACCAAATTTCACACCCATACAGAACCACAGGCAAAATTATAATTTTGTATATTCTAATTTTTATGTTTTTGGATAGCAGACAGGAAGACAAAAGGTTCTGGACTGAATGGTAGCAAGCATTACCCGAGTTCAATTTCCTCTTAATTTCCTCCAGAATTCAATTTTGATTTGTTACTATCGTTCCCAAATATTTGAACTTAGACACATTTTCAAAATATCTGTTATCCATCTTTGTGTCATAATTTTTCACTTCATTCTGGTGATGGGACAGAAACATATACTTAGTTTTCTCTGTGTTTACTTCCAGACCAGCCTCCTTACTAGCATCAATTGCAGTTTCTGTATTTTTCTTTATGGTATCTATGTTATCTCCCACTAGATTGATGTCATCAAGATAGGCAAGTAGCTGATGTGTCCCATTTAATTTCAGTCTCACCTGGTTTTCCTGAACCTTCCTAATGGCATATCCTAAAGCAAAGTTGAAAAGCAGTGGCAAGAAAGTATCTCCTTGTTCTAACCATTTTGGATAGGTTGATTATCAGACAGATGTTTACCTACATGGACTTTATTATATGTTTCATTTAAACATATTTCAATCTGAATAGACTTGAAAGGATTCTGACAATGGTGTATGCTGTACAGAACTATAAGACTTATTTTGGACATCCATCATCTGTTATATGTAAGGCAAAAAACCACAACGTTTCAGAGACCGGATCTGTCTCCATCATCAGGTGGATGGAGCAGGATAGACCTACTCAGTTGGGCCCGTTACAAAGAGCTGGTCTCAATCACCAGACAAAACCCGGTCAGTAGAGAACAGCCTATAAACACCTGACAACAGGTTTCATCTTTGGGAGATAAGAATATAATCAGAATAAAAGATTAGCTAAAACTTTTGTGCCAAGCATGCACATGTCAAAAATGTGCTGTGTCAAATGGAAAGCCCCTCTATGAGATAAGTTCAGACCTGCAGCGATCCAAGTGAGAATTCACGTAGACAACTGTGGTGTCCCTGAAAACAGATGCTTCTCTGTTTGCACCACTGTCAGCCTTATCACAACAAAGTGTCTTTCGGAAAGCCAGGCGATACTTTGCAGACATCACGTTGTAAAGCACAGGGTTGACTGTGCAGGAGAAAAAGTAGAAACATCCTGTAACATTGGAAAATTGGTGATGGCAGTTTGCTTACTTTCACACCATTTATTTAGAGATACACTCAGTAGATTAGATTATACAGCATTAAATGATTGCATAATTAACAAATAATGAATTTGAATGGATGTGGAAGAAGTGGTCATGGCCAAGGTTGAGGTAGTGTCCTGGCATTTGCCTGGAGGGACTAAGGAAACTCATAAGAATCCTGTCAGCATAATCAGTATCCTCCTTAATATTTTAACTGGTACATGTCACAAGCATTACTGCTTGATGTAGCTTGCTTGATAAGAGTCATTTGTCATACTGTTACCAATAGGTACAATGATATGTTTTGTACTTATTAATACTGTGACATGACTGTCGAAAGTCACAATAGTGGAAAAAGAAGAGGCCGTCATTCCTAGGCAACGACACAGTAAACATGTTCCCACAACAACGAATCAACACGCAACATTAGAGGAACTTTGGAAGCGATATTCTCCACGTGGAATGAGCCAAGAATGATTTAGAACTGTGCTGAATGTGCTGGTGAAGGCCAGCAGCAATTTACCTGATCAAGGGACAGCAGCATTTCAATTCAGTCATGAGTTGCAAGCAACCAGTAGCAGTTCTAACGCATGACAACTGGTGTGAGAAGTGGGATTTCATTAGGCTGAACTGGTGGACTTATTTTATTGTGCATCGTTGAATTGGAAACCATGTGACGAATGGGCCATCAAGAGAAGATGGATGGTGTGATAAAGAGAGACCAAGAAGAAATGAAGGCCGCATGAAAAGATGAGGCCGCAATAAACTCCATTCGGTCCAAACTGGAATAGGTCATCAAGGAACGGGTCCCACAATGAACGTACGAGTAACTGGGGGTTACTAGAGTCCCTCAATATGCGGTCCTCCCACTTCCACAAGGAAATGGAAGACACAAAGAAGGATCTAAGCATGGAGATGTTGGACACAAAGAAGGACCTAAGCAAGGAAATAGCAGAATACAAAAAGGATTTAAGCAAGTATATAGTGGACATAAAAAAGGACCCTCATGAAGAAATCGACCTCAGGATCCAAGAAACACAGTAAGATAGAAACAATGTGGACCCTAGCAGACACCACATGGTGTGAGTTCAAAATGCAGCTAGCAGATGTCAAAGCCATCTAAGTTCAATGGGTCGACATCATGGGCCGTGTTCGACGGCAGTTTGAGTATGTGGCAGGGCATAACATTTGGACCCACCACGATAAAGCCACGTACCTAATCACCACTTTCAGTGAATCGGCTACCCATATTCTATATGGGGTTCCTATTTCAGCGAGGCATGATGCACCAATCGCCATTATGACTATCACCTGGAATTAATATTCCACTCTCAACTGAAAGTAATCCAGCCTGTCGGGAACTCCCCGCAGGAGTTTGTCGAAGCCATCGAACCCTAGGCTCAGGGAGCCCACATTGGACTACCCAAATATCTAATTAATAAAGAAGCCACCCGTGCATCCGCTGACGGGATAAGAGAGCGAGCAGTAAAACGTCAGCTACTCTTGAGGGTAAGAAGACATCCAGTGGGGCCTCAATGAGACCGTCAAGCTGGATGCCACAGACTTAGCAGTCTGAACGCCTTCCAGGATCTGGTAAACGATAACCAGGATATTTTGGAGGAGCCAGAGCCCCATTCCCAACAGAATGAAGACTACTGATAGCTTACATGGTGATGCTGTGGGAACACCCTCCAACTTCTGAAAGGCTGCCCCACGAATCCAAACAAGCAGACGACTGGTGCTGGGTATGAGACGACTGAAACTTGGAAAACGTGCTTGAGCCGGGGAGAAGTTATAATGGGCAAGGCTGGAATGCCGCAAGAGCAGCCCATATATGTACGGTTAGAGAGCCCACGGGAACACGGTTGCCAAAGATAAGAGTGCAGCAGGACAAAACGGCCTGTGTGTTGGCAGTGTGGTGGTGTCAGCTATTTTAAGAGGAACTGCTGACATGGATAACCCCAGAAACACTCTCCAGAAGAAAACTGACTGAGACTGGAGAAAGGAATAGAAGAAATGGATAAGAAGGGAACGGTCTCACTATTCATGCCTCCTCATTACACACTCAGTGAGTTGGGAAAGCAAGAACATGTCAGTCTGCACGCCGAGTGATGGATAGGTGAGAAGGCATGGCTCCTGACTACTGACACCGGAGTGTCCATGACCATCAGCAAGCTGGACATCACCACTCAACTGTTTGAGAGGAATCGCCCAAGTGGTGTACCCAACAAACAGCATTGAAGGGAAGGGGGGGAGTTCCCTGCTCATCTTGAAGCAAGCTTTCATAAAACTGATGCTGGGGCAGAGTATGCTGACAACTTGGGTGCTCATCGCAAATACCAGATGAGTTCAACCTCGGATTTGATGTCATGCATTCTAGTGATTCATATGTGGATTGAGGAGCCACGTTCTACAATTGTGTGATGCAGTATTATCATTATGGAACCTCGGAACGTTTTCTTGTTTACTTTCCTCCATGAAGGGCAACAGTGATGTAGCAGTGATAGTGTTCTGTAGTTACAAGGTACAAGTGTTTAATTCCAATTAGCAATCAAAACCCCATGTCTAGTGACTAACACATGACAATATTAAATCTGTTTATGTGAATAATGGGTGTAAATGAATTTCAGTGAAGCTGTTTAATTTCTTCTCCAATTTAACCCCTGAATGTGCATCACACAGACAATATATACTGCTCAAGGAATAGGAAATTACTGTAATTGATGAAGCAATGTTACCACATAAATACTGACCTGTTATATAATATGCCCACTCATTAATCTTGTCAAAGTTGGGTGAGTGTTTACCATAAATATAGAACAGACGCTGCATATGGAAGGGGGCCCAACACAGGAAGAATGTGATCACCACTGCCACTGCAACATAAAGTCACCATGTGACTTGCGCAGAACAAAACAAAGAGAAGAGAAGAAAGGAAGGTGGGAAGTACAATCTTGGCAAATGCCAAGAAAGATCATACATACTGTGTGGGCCATTAGGCAGGATGATTTATATCAGTTAAATAGAGACAGAATTTTTAAGCACCTCACCGAATCATTGATCAGTGAGGTTATGCATTATGAGCAGTGTATACATATATATTGACAAGCCTGTTGCTTTGAATCCTACTACTGAACCTGCACTTGGTTTTTGTGATGAACATTCATTTCGATATTTTATTACCTGTTTTGAAATTCTATGCATGAGATACAGACTGGAATGTGTGTCCATCAAGAAAGGATCAGCAAGAATGAGAAGATTCTGGCATAAATTTCACGATACAACTGTTCCACACAGAATAGCACTTAAAGAAACTGCAATAAATTAAAATAAGACAGGGATGATTTATTTAATCCGTCTTGCAGTGCATACACTCATTTATCTCCTTCTCTCCCTCGCACTACATGTTTCGGCATAATAATGCCATCTTCAGGTGCTTACTTATCCACGTCAAACCAGTTCATTGCATGCCATGTTCACACATTAAAATAACTAAAATATGTATCTATCATATACATTGTCAAACGTTAAAAATATTAAAATTGTTCAGGATACCACATCGCTACGTCGCCCCTCACTACGTCAGTCATGCCCATTCTCCTTTGTTGGAGCACTCCTTCACTATCTTGTGTGTTGTGCTTTTGTTGTGTCGTGCTCCTGCGACTGCGTGTGTTATACTGTTGGGCTTCCTGGGTATGTGTGGGTATGTGAGATAAATGAGTGTATGCACTGCAAGACGGATTAAATAAATCATGGACTTAAATCAGTCCAACAGGACGCTAAAATACAACAAGACAGGGATTTTACAAGACGAAAGCCCTATTCAGTAAGCCGCAAAGTCACTGAAGAAAATTTTTATCAGATCAATGCTACATTTGAATATATTCTATGGAAATCCCACAAAGGCTGCTCAACAGACCAGGGCTTCAAACTCATCAACACGAACTTCCACAATATTCTTGAAACTGAAAGAACTAAACATGAAATTAGGGCTTGAATTGCAACAGTGAGATTCAAGAAATAGAGATAAATTTTGTAACTGGATCCTTCAATCTCTTCATAATTATTAAATTTTCTTTCCAACAAGAGTTCATACAATTCAATACTAATACACCTGGTTTTACTGTAGTTCTACATGATTTTAAAATTTGTTTATAGCATGGTGTTAGGGGAGAATTCTGAAAGCAGCTCTGTGCATATTTATTTGGAAAACACCAAATTGTTTCTACTGTTGAAAACAGACACACACACATTAACACAGAAAGCAATTTCACATATTAACTGAAAGAATCTGATTCCACTGCATACACACAGACAGCCATGTGGAATATTTTGAATAGATCATAATCCATCATTATGTGTAGCAGATCTGTCAAACCATTCATCCATCAATCCATCCAATTACAATATAGATAAAACTGGCTGTGGTGTCAGTTCTGATTTCTCCAAACGATTTACTGATGTTAATGCAGTTACAGTTACTACATTGGTTAGTATAGTAAATATACTAGACATCTGCTCTTCATTAGTTGTAAGAGGTGATGAAATGACTGCAAAAGGAAGAGAAAGAAGTAAGGAGGGCATGATAACATTATGTTAAAGTATTAAAAAAAAAGTAAAGCTATCCCTGTAACTGGCCGTGAAGGCCCATAGGGTTGTAAGACATTGAGGGTTCCACATTTTCTAGATAATCGGCTCAAAGATGGCGGTAAGGTTATCAGCCTTATGTGCCAGCCGTGCTTTACTCCTCAGGAGAATTATTTAATTAATTCCTGGTACTCATTTCTGTTAGAGGCTGAGTCGACCCCAGGGCCATAGTGCAGCTGAAAGAATTAGGTCAAATGAAAAAATCCAATGACCTCATTGGGACTTGAATCCGCAACCTTCCGGCTTGTAGCATAGTGCTTCAACCAACTACACTACCATGTGCCCCATGTTAAAATATTACCAAGACCTTTTCCTGGAAGTACTGAGTACAGGAACCTGGCCTACATTTGAATGAGGCAGGCTCCTATTACAAATATATTCTATGGCTGAGAAAGCTTCCACAGTATTTGTAGGAGATACAGCAATTGAAGCTTGTAGCAGAGCAGTTCATCAGAAAAGTTGTAGCACTACTGTTAAGGAAAATTGCCTGATGGGAACTTAATAGCCAAGATGTCAGACACATACAAGATTTCAGAGATTATGATTCAAATATCAAAAGAAACTCAGGTTAATTGTCAATTCAGAATGATTAATATTCTTGCAATTCTTTTTGTGGGTTATTCAACAACACTATCAGTATTGCGACTATAGAGCATCAAATGGTAGTACCACGATGAATTGGAAAGGAAAGTTCATGGCCTAATAAGGTAGTATTCTGGCATTTGCCTGGCAAGATTGATGAAAAATCCAAAGAACCTTAGCCAGGGTAACTTGTGTTGTGGCTGAAAATAGAACTTAGTTCCTCCAGAATACAAGTCTAGATAACTACCTCTAGACCAGCCTATTCAGTTACTGTGTTAGGATGTGATACTAAATAATATGAAATCACAAATATTTTAAACTTTAGACAACATGTTTTGCACAACTATTGAAATTCCTTTCTACAAAAGGCTCCTTGTTTCTAAGTGCTGAAATCAATGTGAGTTGTTTATTTTTGTCTGAGTGTAATGGGGACAAACTTAACATTTCTGTATTATGAAGATTTCTGTCTCCTGGGATGTAACACAATGTAATATGGTGAAAGTCAACCAACATTTTGGAGGAACATATCACTTCCAATTTCACCAAATTACATGGAGTCATATCCCAGAAGACAGAATTCTTCATAAATCATACATTTTTATATCAAATTTTGACAACAGATTGCTCATTTTGTAGTAATTTTTGTGCAAATTTTCTTCCCTGAATAATTAATTCATTAATTAATTAATAATTAATATTAAATTTACCAAGCATTCTGATGATGGGCTTGGTCCGAGAGTCCAGACACTTAGTTTCACCTGGAAACTTGATCATTCGGCTGTGTATTGTGACACCCATGCGGATATAGAGAACTACAATTATCAGCATTGGACCCAGGAAGAAGAGAAAAGCACTGAACTCATACATGGGCCAGTGTGATGGCAGAGCTTGGTCCAACATAGCACAGAAGGCAGACTCTGCTATCTGATGTGATGAGCCTGGGAACATAATTGTAATTGAAACAAGAGAGTCACAGCACTATTTTTGAACTTCATTCTGGTATTTGTGAACTTTTATTTATATTTTTGTACTGACTTCCCTTAAATTTATTTTCTTCATCCATAGATATAAGTATAATGATCAATATTATTTTATTAAATATAAAATATAAAAGTAGTCCAGGCCTTCAACGTACATGGTACAACATGATAATCCACTAAACACTTGCATGATAATGGTGTTTAATGTTCTTGCAAAATAAGTGATCAGTTTGTCTGTGTATCAAGTAGTACCAAACACAAATACAAAATATAGTTTTGTATTACTTTATTCTGTTTTTGTGGTTTGGAGTTATAATTTTACTATTTATAAAAGGAGACCACTCTTAAGATCACAGAAGGCATATGATAGGCAATAGTTGCAGCAAACAGCATGACACAAGGATTCTAGATATGAAAATAAAATATTCTTCTTCTTAGGTCAATTAGCAAAGCTGTAAAATGGAGACATTCAAATGTAACAAATTGAAAAATATGTCATTAGTACTGTATGGACAGGCAATGAAGAATTGAAGTGGTTAAGTATTCCTCAATTTTCTGTTCTCAAATAGTTGACAGAAATCAAGAGAAACTTCCAGTTTGGTTGCTAGTTTCCTGGTCAACAATCAAAGGCTGAAGGGTCAGTTAATATACTGACCACACTATCCCAGCTCCTTGTATGTACTGTACATACACATATACCAGAGCAGCATGCAAAGCTGTAAATAGTAGGTATCCACAAGGACCAGGACTTTTGACAACTTACTATGTAGAATGCCGACATGTAAAATTGTAAATATAGATAGCATGAACTACTGTGTCCTTAGGAATTGTCAGACCCATCCTATTGCCAGAGAGGGTGCACCACATCAACAAACCTGCAACTGTCTGACAGTAAAATTATTCTGGTCTCGGCCCCCAGATGTGGCTTGATATCAAGACTGGCTGGTTGACTGTTGGTCATAACATGACTTTGAAGTCAATCAGGACCAAGGGAACAAATCTGTCAGTGGATGAGGGAAGGTGTGCAGAGGAAAGGGTCAGCTAATGTGCTACACTCAGGAAGGGGACAGTGAGCAACAGTAGTCAATATCCTCTTTTAATAGAAGATGAGGCCCCATTTCAAAACATATAAGAGTCTTGGAAACAAAAAATATGGTCACAGATCTCAAGTGGGGTCAAAACCAAGTTTGACTCTGCTGGCGAGGGTCAACAGCAATTTACCCAACCAATGGAATTAAGTCAGTTGGGAGTCGACATTTGGCAGAGAGCATGTAGCTGTGAAAGCAGTCACAGTTTGTGATTGACCATAAGCATGGGAGCAGATGAATCTCTATTGCTGGATATTGCTGCATGGCAGAGTTAAGTCAAGACAATACAAATTGAGAAGAGTTAGTATGAGCTATAATGATTTGGAGAATGTTGTAGGTGTAGTTACAAAGTTATATGTGTTCACTACATTCAATAATCAATCCAAACTCGGTGTTTAGTCACTAACTCATGACAGTATTTACAACACAAATGTTGTGCAGTAAAGAGTCCCATTTTGAAAAAGATGAAGGAAGAAAATTTTCTTTTTTAGTTTCCTATTTAAGGACGGTGCCAGTGTTCGGACTCTGCATTATCAATGAAGGGATGATCAATGAATGTGGAGCAGTTAGTGAAATAAGAATTCTCAGGGCAAACCAAAGTAAATATAACAAAGGTAAAGTCCCTTTGCTTAATTAAGCACTACACCATGAAGGCGTATGGAGGAGTCGATGTATAAATCCACATTTTCTTGACCTCGGCATTAGCTGGAGGTGAATGGTCAGCTTGCTCCTTTCCCTCTTCTGGGGCGCATGAATTAAGACAGGAGATGAACCTAAACCAACAAAATGGTTACAATGCATGCCAGTAATAAGCAAACGCATTTTGATGATGTGAATTGAGGTGAACTGGATCAACTTTCGTTGTGGCGATAACAATAAGGTATGTAATGAACAAGTGAACAGTTTTTCTCTACATGCAGAAATTATGGTGGCAAATAGCATATAGAGCAGGATTTATTGGCAATTTATGTACCTGGGGGATACTCCACGTAGTTGATTTTGGTGTAGACAGCAAAGGGCGCAGCGCTCAGAAGGGACACGCACCACAAGACCACGATGACTCTCAGGGCGATTCTCGGGCTGGAGGTAGTGTATGAGTGGATTGGCTGACAAATGGCGAGGTAGCGCTCCGTGGAGAACGCTACGATTGTGAGCACTGATGTGTAGGAAGACCTGCAACATGTACAGAGTGTGATAAATTCTTATACAACGAGTTATTTAGAAATTCCCCTCCAAACCTACAGCATAATTAATTACAGCATTTCTTGTCGTGTAGCAATTTCAACGCGTGTTACCAGATTCACTGTTGATCAGGAGTGCAAATACTTATTCAGAACTAGGCCGATGACCCAAATATGAAAAAATAAATAAATAAATAAAATGCGCAAATAGACCAACACACTGGCTTATGATAAAGCAAATTATTACAGTGCAGATTCGGAAATTATTCCCTGTATGTATCACTGTTGGGACTGAAAACTGAAAATAGCTTCGTTAAAGAAAATGCTGTGGATTTGCAGAGATGGCATCCAATCACGTCTAGGCCCACACCTGCCCCTGCCATTGGAATGGACCGTGGTAGAATACGTGGCCCACATCCTCACAGATTAACATTCGGAACACCGATATCACAAGAGCGACCTCTTGCTATTATACGCATTTTACTTCTAACAAGCTCTAACTCCATTTTAACTGCTGATGCGACTCTCGGGGGGGGGATAAGGAGAAATAAGAGTACTATCTTCTGGGATATAGCGGCGTGTAGTCCGTTGAAAGTCAACCGACGTTTCAGGGTCGAAAAATAAGGCCAAGTAAGAAACCAGCGTGAAAACCGGTGGCAAACAAATGAATTTTCAAAAGACTACAAGGCATTATATACCAGAAGATAATGTTCTTCATAATCACCGTGTGAGAACCTGAAATCCTACATAGGAAAGAAGAAATTCTGTCCCTGATCCACGATTCTCATTCCCACTGCTACAGAAAAATGTATAATTGCCTGCTGGTTTGGTGCTACTTCCTTTCGATCTGACCTGTACGCCCACTAAGTCTAACCCTAATTCTCATGCAACTGTCATCAGTGAACCTGTTCTACAGAGACTCCTGACATTCCATGTCCCCTTGCCGTTGCTTACGTTATTCCGAAAAAGAAAACTACGCAAGCCGGAGGTACTGCGAAATATTTTGCGCCATAATGATTGAATAAAGTGAGAAGCTGTTTGACTCGTCCCCTTTTAAATCTGGAGGACCATCTTCCGTCGGTTGTCCAAAACTGTTTTTACAATATGTCCGCAGTTACCCTCCGTAACTGGCCCCACTGGCACTTCATACGAAGGATCATCTTTATCTACGTGTACACACTCCTGAGGTAAGTCTACGTGCATTTAAACGCGAAGGCGAAGGCTGATTTGCTCTCAGATCGGCCCTGCGAGCATCAACGAACCTCGTGTTGTCACGACCGGCTGCCAGCGCCAGTGGACCCATCGAAACAAGCCGCGCTGGTGAGCGACATCGGGAAGAGATGAACACCAAAACCATTCTTTTACTCCACCAACTAACTTCACGACGCTATGAGTATCTCAGACTACACATACTCGGTAGATGGTGTCCTGGACGAGATTCGAACAAAGTACCTCCCGAGAACAAGTTTGATGTGTTAACGCTACACTAGCCTCTTCGGTCAAGACCATTAAGAAAAGAAAATACCCAAATAGGTTATCCCCTTTGACAAAGACGTGACGACAGGAATATGGGAGCGTTTCCTCATGAGAAGTCACTTCTATTTACGCGACAAGGTATGCTTTTAAGGACCTCAGAGAATGCTCGTAATGTAGAATGGGTTTCCTGTCTTCGTCCTCTCTAAATCCATTAGTGTTTTCTTTTCTTCCTTTCCTTCCTTTCTGAGTTTCTCTCTGTCCCTAAAAGTGTGATATTGGCCGAGGTATAACAGCACTTACCAAGCAGAAGAACAAACTTATCATCTGTGTAAGTTTTGAGGTTTTCACGGCGATGACAATGAAGAAAGTTGTCTTCTGGGTAGGCACCGTGTGCCTAAACGTCCGAAACGTCGGCCAAAACGAAGAATACACGGTGCCTAAACCCATAAGACAACTTTCTTCAAACTTATCATCTGTTTAGGACACATTCTTATAAGTGTCGAGAAATATGGCAAGAAAACATCTCAGACAATCCATAAAATGAAAGTTCATTCCAGCGAAATGTGAACATGATACAAACAATCTAATATAGATCAGTAACTGACTTGTAATTTCAAACAGATCGTACAAACCCTGTGCACCTAGATCTAGTTCCTCTCCGTCACAAATTGGATTTTGATTTATCCCTCAGTTCGTCCTTTCCCTAGCCACGAAAGACGTTCCGCACGCCTGAAGGTCTTACAGGAGTTTACAAGCAAGGAATATACATTGCATGTAGGCCCACGATGTTAGGACAAGAACTTCAGTAAGAAGGAAGAAAATTTCGGTTGTCAGAAGTGAGAAACTCCCAACAGAAGGTGCTGTTACAGAAACATACAGCTTCAGACTAGCAGAAAAACAAATTCAGCGTGGAACATGTTTAAGATATCTTCCTTTGTCATAAGAATAAACTAATAAGAATATCTCAGGTTGTAAACTTCAGGGAGGGAGTCCATGCCAGGAAAGGGCGAAGATGAGGTTAATATCATATTAAACCTCAGGGATAAAGGATTGTAATAGTAAGCAGTAAATTCAACTGACTAATAATAGTTCAATAGTGTCTTTTGTGTTAGCGCTAAGAACCTTCAAGTTGTTATAGTGGTGGCACATAACGCCGTATATTCCGTTGAAAACCAACCGACTTTTCGGAAGAACACTTCAACTTCACCTTCACCTTCAGGGTAGAAAAAAGAGGCAAACAGCTCTGTTTGCTACCTGCTTCATGCTGGTTTCTTCATTGGTTTATTCCTGAAACCTAATGAATGGAGGCAACATTTTCCTCCGAAACATCAGTTGACTTTCAACGGAATAAACGGCATTAGTTCCCAAACGATAGACTCGTCAGAATCTTGAGGTCTGGTAACATCAGGTAGTTTTCGGATTGTTTGGATATACTTGTATGTCGACCAGTAAGATGCAGTATCACAGCTGTGTCGGGGTCTAACATTTCAGTTGACTAACTCAGCAATGTCACGGAGCTGAGCCTCCAAAACACCTTATCGAATCTAATGGCCCTTTTAGTGTTCAGAAATCCCATTCAAGGAATCTTTACTAAGCCAGTTGAATTCAATCATATTCTCAGTCCTCATTTCTCTGATCAGTTTCAATATAAGATCCCCATCGCCTCACAGACAGTCTCTACAAATTATAAAGGCTGTAACAGAAGGGCACAAAAGAGCTTTAGTTCGGATATTGGGTGCTGGAGTCGAAACCAGCAATGAAAATATGTGAAAGCTGATTCCACAGAGAGACTGCAGCCAGTCGCGATATGCTACTCCACAGCTTATGGTGTCACATTAGGTCACTGAACTAAGCTGAAGTGACCTCTGTGGCCAAGTACTAAAAGAGAGAAGCGCATAAGCAAGGTCAACCATAAAGCTCCATGCACTGTCGTACATGAAGGGAATTGTCAGCTGTAGAGCCAGTAACCTTTAGCCTCGGGAAAGGCGAAATCTACCAAAATCCCAAAGAAAAATGGAAACCATATAATTCTGCCATTAGGCAGTCTTTTAAAAAATGTAAAATTATCCCTGGACTGTAAAGACTTTGCTTCATCTTTCTTGACATCCATAGTAGATGAAGGAGAGTGGCCAGCTTCACGATCCTGCCGCTTTCCCCTGTGGAAACAGCCCCCGGTTATGCAGAAAGGAAAAATGTCTTGCCCTTGCCGAGAATCGAACCCTGAATCCTAGTCTTTCATCCTTTAACCTAGTCCCTATAGCAACTAAGCTATCCCTGCTGCCCGAAGTATTTACTTGATATTTTACGAAAGAAAAAGTAGAAGAAGAAATCAATATTCCCACCTAGCTTCATTGTTGGGTAATATGTCTTCTTTACAACGTTCGTTTTATGTTGATCGTTTTTGAGTCTTTCCATTTAGAATCCCTGGAATAAAAATGCAAATGTAGACGAAGCCCATTTGTTTAATATAAGTGCCCAGTCACTGAATGGAGAGATTTGTAAAGCCTCGGATGAGATACGTGCTCTAACTCCACGGGGAACGGGCTGCAATGACGTCCTTTTAAAGAGGATAAACTCCGAAGTTACAATTTTAATGGCATTCAATTCCTTCTCATTCAACTCGCAGTAGGAATCTTCCACATTCGCCTTCGAAATGTGCGAAGTTCCTAGAGATCCTGTGTAAAAGGTACCGGATCATAACACAGAGAAATTTAATTTATGCGTTAGATGAGAAAAATGGTTTGGAGGATAAATATGACACGTTTCTTCAAAGCGGTCAATAGACTGTGTACTTGTAGTCAAGAAAGCGAAAATATAATAACGCCAGATATGCAGATTGAAGCTTAATGACAATAGGCTTACGGTAGTGGACGGTGTACGTTTAACAGGCACGTTTTACGTAAGGAACTGTAAAAGAAATCTAACATCGGGGCGCTTTAAATTGCTTTTAAGACAACAAGATGCAAGACAATTTAATATGAGAAAGAAAGTCCTTTTTTTTTAATTCTGGATTAGTCTTATTCAAGATAAACTGAATAATTAAGAATACGATTAATTATTTCCTTGCAAATTAATATAAAATTATTTTCTGTTATCTGACACACAAATCATCGATAATTTAAAATAAAATTATAGAGATAATGAAGAATAGCACTGCAGCGCTCTCCAGTGTTACTAAGGGCAATAAAAGAAAATACATAGTGATATGGCTTAATATGTTGTCATGTGTTAGAGCGACTCTTGACGGAGTTTTGGATTGGATATTGGATTTATAGGCCGCTTTAACACACAATTTGTGACTACACTTAATTATAGCGCCATCGTTAATTTCCACACTTTACAAGTCACTAGAGAACAGGCTTTCTTTCTCAGTCTGCAGTGTCTTTACTAGTAGTTGCCTGTTAACGGCTCCAACAGTGGCTATTCCTCTGCTTCCGTGCTGAAGTCCTCTCTGAATGGTTGTTCCCTTCCAACTGAACTAAGTGAAAAAAGTCAAAGTTACTTTACGACTGGCGGTTTACCGCCGAATTGTTCGTCTGGCGTCAAGCTCTTTGTGACTCATGATCACAGAGTTTGTTTCTACAACTGATCACTTGCAGTAATATTACTTATGTAACATCCTCTCTGGCGAGAAGGTGGGGTTCCCTTATGAATATGACTGACCTTTCTTCAAGCATAAGCATCGCACTTATAGCGTGTTATTGCAAATTTGTCGGACTATAGTTATCGTTTGGTTATAGTCCTTATGTAATATCCTCTCTGACGAGAGGATGCGTATGTCGTTTACAGTGGCTGATGGTCCTCGCCAGCGCAGTCATTCTCAGCTTCGTGTCCCGTGTAACTTATGACCACATTTTATTGTCTCAGATTCGAGACTCCGCCAACCTGTAGGGTCAAAGCCCGGTATTTATATCCTTCAGGAACAGGGTGGCCCGGTTATACCCCTAGGCACTGGGCTCCCTTTTCGTCGCATTCTACGACTCGCAGGGCTATGGCGGAGGTGTTCGATCCCGCAGCCTCACCAGTCTTCACTTTGTCCCGCCACTCCGCGGCAAGGACCACCGTAAAAAACGCCGTTTCCAACAGTTTCTCTATTGTTGCGTGTTGATTCGTTGCTGAGGAGATGTTGCTCAAATCGTTTATGTGGGAAAGTGTTTTGTTAGCGAAGAGCGTTACTCAGTAAGGGCTCTGACATATTTGTTTATCTCGCGGTCGTTGCCTAGTAACAGCACTACACACCATAATATATAATGGAGTACTACATTAAAAGAATGAAGCATGTGTGATTTCTGCGCATTCTAAACACAACCGATTTCTTTCAATTTTTTTTATTAATTGGTACGTTTCGCTGGAAAGCCTGAATCATTCATTTCGTTATAGAGTGACCTATTGCGATAGATAGCAAAAGGCTTCAGAAGCATATTGAATACTATTGTGGCGTATTCGCTCTATGCAGGAACTGTTGAGCCACAGGGGCCTCGGCGCACGCGCCCAACGGGAGAAGACCTGTGAAGATTTAAAGTGTGATTGAAGACCTTAATTATGTACAATATTTGGAGAGATTTGAAGCGCTGGAAAGTGTATAAATCAGCGATAGCGCTGTATTTGAGTGTAATTAAAAGAGTGTGTATCTAAGCTGCTAATAAATCCAATCATCCGAACTAGATCTCGTCATTTCGTCACGCGTATCCACCCTACGCGTGACAATATTTTAATTAAATAGGTCAGTATATGTATGTAGACTGATACATGTAGACGGAAGGAAACTTCACTTAATTTTTATCAAGAATAGAAACTTCAGTAGTTTTCGTACGGATTCCGGACAACCGTGTTGATGTATGATTTCAAAAATATACGCATGCTGTCTGCTTTATACAATTATCACAAAAACTGTAAAACTTAAAAAATGTGATTCATTATCTCTTTACATTTTGCTCGAAAGCTCTGTCACTCGAAAAACGAAAGATGCTCGAAATATTGGCAGCAACGCAACCTGGTTGCAAGATGTCCATTTCTATTTCATTTTAACCAAAATTCAATTATATAGACAAATTATATTGAACCTTGCTAATGTCAAAGTTTCATGAGAATAAGTTCAGCATTGCTCGGGTTGTTTAACGCGTATAAAATGACGGTCAGACGGAGCGAATTTAATAGCGCTTCTCAGGGTTTCGAATGCTACTAGAATCTCATTTAGTGACAGAATTTAAAACGAATTTCTACATGTTTGATAGGCATAACTGCCGTCAGCGTTAGACAAAAATTTATGGTGGACAATCATAGTCCTAGCATTCAGTCCAGAACCTTTTGTCTTCTCGTCTGCTGTCCAAAAACACAAAAATCAGAATATACTAAACTATAATTTTACCTTTGGTTTTGTATGGGCGTGAAACTTTGTCTCTGACATTAAGGGAGGAACATAGACTGAGGTAGACTGAAGTACAGCAAGAACTATACGTTCACGCTTACACACAAAGTAACTGTACTCATGGTTTGGTAACAATGCCACAGTCAGGTGAATCTGAGCTGCGTACTTTGAAGAGAGAGATTAATAATTTATACGGTCCACGAGATATTATAAGGATTGGGTCGGGAGGGCGTGGGCGCGGCACCTAGCACATAAAAGATGCATGTATATTTTCATACAGAGATCACTTGAGAGATCTAGACTTTGATGGGAAGAAAATATTAAAATTGGGAGGATGAATAAAGTAGAGACGCCTCAGTGAGAAAGCGCGAACATGAGCCAGGCAGCCGCACGGTTTTGCATTTGGCACTGCTGAGACAGCGCCGCATGTGTTTTGCTTAGTTGCCTGTGCTATACTCAATGCTCTCTTCACGTAAATGCGCATAAATAACTTGTAGTTTCATCGGTTCCTTGGGCTCTTCCATTCAGCGTATATATATTGTATATAAAAAAAAATATATATATATATATACACACACACACAAGCATTCATTATATATTGATAGCCGCATGAGAAAGTACGCCATCTCTCTGTGAAATGTCACACAATGTAACACTTCATTCTTACAGATGCAGACCACAAATAAACATAGTAATGTATCCTTAACATCGCCGGTCACGGTAGCCGAGCGGTCTACTGCATGTACTGCCTTTGCTCTCTTGAAAACCGGGATCGTGGGTTCGAATCAAGCTCAGGGCATGGATGTTTAGTTTGTGTGTGCGTTTTTCTGTTTGTGCACAGGTAGAGGCCTTGCGACGAGCTGATCACCCGCCAAAGGAGTCCTACCGAATGTGTAAGATCCAGAAAAACCGAAGTGAACGGAGAAGTTCATGGAGGTAGGCCTAGGCCCACTGGGGCTGTAGTGCCAAGGGAAAAGAAAATCCTTAAGACTGCCTTCGCTATGAAATACCACGGAAGTACTAACGGAAAGACACAGTCAGTAGACGAGATTAGTGGTCTAAAAGGACTTTACACGGAGCAGCGAAAGAATAAAGCAGGTGAAATCGTAAAGCAGGAGGCGCAACGATATTATGGGGTCTCTGGGAGAAATTTATGTCGTTAAATCGCAACTGTGAAGTTAGAAAGGAAGAAATAAGACACGATAGAAGAAAGAAAGAAAGAAACTTGTCTTTACTCGCAAGGCGCAAGGTATGCGTATTGAGCGACTAGACGCTGCTGGATTTGCACCTAACAAACAGACTGTTAGACAGGTAGAATATTAGTCTGCGTAAAAGGTAGGCGTCAGTCACAGATGTCCTCACCAGAAATTGTGGGTTACATTTGGCTTGCTTCACTCCTCAACGAAATCTGAAAGTTTCCATTACGTAGGGTGAGGGATTTCGTTATCGAGAACGCAAAGAATGAAGACAGAAGAAATTAACAATTGTTTTATGATGTTGGTAACGGTTAGGAGACAAAACAAACTCCTGAACAAACCCCAAAGCACATTCAGTGTTGTCGAATCTGGAATTCAGCTAATAAATAAACATGGAGAAGTTCAGGCAGAAAAGGGGCCAAGTACGCGAAAGTCAATACCCCTCATAAGAGAGGGGAGAGTGTAAGAGTGCGTACTGCATCGCTGGAGGACATTTCCTTCTCCTATTTTAATTCTTAAAGGAATTAATAAGAATGAAGAATTTAGAGGCGGTCTTTTACATGCATCTAAAGTGTGCGTGAATATTAAGTTATCCTGCTATATTTCGATGCTTCTTCTGATATGGTTTGAGGAGCACTTTCTTTCGAGAAATCCTCCGGGTAAATCTCTCTTTGGCGGTCACTGTAGCCGAGCGGTCTAAGGCATGTACTGTCTTCGCTCGCTTGGAAACCGGGATCGTGGTTTCGAATCCCACTCAGGGCATGGATGTTTGTGTGCGTTTTTCTGTGTTTGTCTACAGGTAGAGGCCTTGCGATGAGCTGATCACCCGCCCAAGGAGTCCTACCGAATGTGTAAGATCTAGAAAAACCGAAGTGAACGGAGAAGTTCATGGAGGTAGGCCTAGGCCCACTAGGGCTGTAGTGCCAAAGACAAAAAAAAACCCTCTTTATTCTTGATGGTCATGTTTCTCATTGCAGTGCATTTGAACCGCTGGAGCTGGCAGACTCATGTGATATTAAAATTCTCTTCATGTAAGTCACACAACTCAGGCTCTTCAGCCAATGAACTGGTGTTTCTTCAAGCCCCTTAAGACCTATCACGCTCAAGCAGCAATAGTTAGGATAAGAAATAATAAAGAAAGGAGAAGTAGGTTCTGAAAGTATCTGACGATGGTGTATAGCGTTAAGAATTACTGGATTTTTTGGACTTGTCCACTGTCCGGTACTCTAGAAACCGGAGAACACAACGTTTCGGAAACTGGATCTGTTTCCATCCTCAGGTGAAGGGGGAAACACCTATTCCTTTGGGTCCCTTAGAAAGAGCTAATCTCAATCACTGGACAACCCCTGTCAAATTCACTACAGCTACTTAATTATCTGAGACCAGGATAATTCGGAGGGAGATAACAAGAAAATATGGAATAAATATTTTATTGCACACTTCAGAATGCACAAGATTGACATAAACTACATGGATTTGGACGAGTAGACAAACTTGGAAACACATGCGTGACCCGCAAAAAGTCACTGAGTGAACTCACATTTCGGATCCCAGAGCCCTCAGCTTGCAAAGAGTCTCACCAAGGACCCATGGGTATTGCTGCCAATACACCCCCAAGTCATACGGCAAACCTGCAATAAAAAGAACAGTTAATCTTAATCATTCTAAGCACAGTGATAAGTACACGCATCACTTGCTTTACTGTCAGAATAATCTATTTCAGTCATTCAGTGTATTTATGTAGGATATGAGGTTCTCACAGCTGTGTTACGAAGAGTTCTATCATCTGGAATATAATGTCAAGTAGTCCGTTGAAAGTCAACCTACATTTCGGAGGAACATGTCGCCTCCATCTTTAGGCTGGGACCACACGAGCGCACGAAGTACGTCCGTTGCAACGAACGTACTTTATGACGGACGTTGCTGAGGAAACCACACAGTTGCAGAATGCGGTGCGTAGCTTTTTTTGTCTGCAATGGAACCAGAAGAAAATGTAGCATTCGCCTCTCTTGTTTATTTCTACAACGGACGTCACGACGTTCGTTACAACGGACGCATTTTGTGCGCTCGTGTGTCCGCAGCCTTAGGGTAGAAGAATAAGTCAAACAAGAAACCACCGTGAAGCAGGTAGCGAGTTCTGCTCATTCTTCGATCATGAAGATGGAGGCGACATGCTTCTCCGAAACTTAGGTTGACATTCAAATGACTACACAGTGTTATATTCCAGATGACAGAAGTCTCCAGTGTATTTATGTGTTTTGTACAAGACGCGGAAAAACTGACTATTTTCCTAATGAGGATTCACACACTAATCTTCGTTTTTGAAAGGCAGTATATTTATTTTGAGGGAGGAAGTGGAGTTTTTAAATAAATTACATTAAGTTTAACTTTATTCATTCTGGTCCGTCACGCTAGTTGGATATTATAGAATGATTTGACACCGTCCAGAGTGACTCAAACGTATATTTATATGATTCCTTTACATGTTTCGGTCAGTTATGACCAACTTCAGAAGTCATAACAACATGTTGAGGAAACTACTATTACATTGGTCATAGTACATCAAATTGAAATGTTTTATATAAAAATTTTGTTTAAGACAAATAGTTGTTGAGTTGAATATTATTCAAATTCTTAATATTTAAAATCTTAAACAGCTAAGGTTCGTGTCTTCGTGCCTCTACTATCAACGGGAGATTGGGGAAGATATTGCCGTCCAACTATAATGAGGGGGGGAGGACGAACACGGCCCGGACCTCCAAGGACGGCCGAAACACGAAAAGGTAGGCTTTTATATTCTCCTGTTAAACTTATAACCAGGGCCCGGATTTTGATGACCTGAAAATATTTAAAAAAATGACCTATAAAATGATCGAAAAAATCCAGAAAAATGATGTAAAATATGACCCAAAAATGTAATATGCAGGGTTTGGATTTTGATGACCTGAAAATATTTAAAAAATGACCGAAAAAATCCAGAAAAATTACCTAAAGGAGAAAGAGAAAGAACACTTCGCTTCCATATTATTTACATTTCAGAAAATATATGAAGAAAAATTCCCTAAAATGGCCAAAATTGACAAGTCCAAAAATTTACCAAAAAATTGCCCCCAAAATAAAAAAATGACCTTAAACCTAAAAATGTCAAAAAATGACAAAAAATACCTATAAAAATTACATTTCTGTAACCAGCAGCTCATATCCGAAATTTATATATTTAAGAGCATCGCATAGGATACAAGGAAAAAAAATGACATCTCATCAAAATCTGGGCCCTGCTTATAACACTTGATGGCTCTTGCCACTTACTCATATTGTCACGTTTTGTAATATGTGACTACAGTCGGGGTATGAATTGGAAACTGAATATATTGACCACTTGGACACACCACTCTGAACCACACTTTACATATAACTGACACACACAGAATAGTGTACTCAATCTATTACAATCTCCACTAGCCGTTTCCTGGCAACAGGTTTAACACAGTGGAGATTCTTTAGCGTCCCGTGCTCAGGTCCTTTTGTCACAGCTNCAGAAAAATTATGTAAAATATGACCTAAAAATGTAATATGCAGGGTTTGGATTTTGATGACCTGAAAATATTTAAAAAATGACCGAAAAAATCCAGAAAAATTATCTAAAGGAGAAAGAGAAAGAACACTTCGCTTCCATATTATTTACATTTCAGAAAATATATGAAGAAAAATTCCCTAAAATGGCCAAAATTGAAAAGTCCAAAAATTTACCAAAAAATTGCCCCCAAAATAAAAAAATGACCTTAAACCTAAAAATGTCAAAAAATGACAAAAAAATACCTATAAAAATTACATTTCTGTAACCAGCAGCTCATATCCGAAATTTATATATTTAAGAGCATCGCATAGGATACAAGGAAAAAAAATGACATGTCATCAAAATCCGGGCCCTGCTTATAACACTTGATGGCTCTTGCCACTTACTCATATTGTCACGTTTTGTAATATGTGACTACAGTCGGGGTATGAATTGGAAACTGAATATATTGACCACTTGGACACACCACTCTGAACCACACTTTACATATAACTGACACACACAGAATAGTGTACTCAATCTATTACAATCTCCACTAGCCGTTTCCTGGCAACAGGTTTAACACAGTGGAGATTCTTTAGCGTCCCGTGCTCAGGTCCTTTTGTCACAGCTGCCCGTGCAGAACTCTTGTCAACTGACAACTGAACTAACTGGGTCCCAGGCTGGCGGCCATTCCACACCAACCTCCAAGTCTGATATAGTTCCAATTTCACTTGGCAAATGTGTGTTTTTCTCGTGAACCACACTCCATTTAAATTTGTCAAATTTATTCTCGTTCTGGAGACCACGAAATTATCGTTCCAAAGAATGCAATTCACAATTAACCGGAATATATATGTAAGATTTGAGGCTTTCACGGCGGTGACTATGAAGCAAGCAGTCTTCTGGGATTTGGTAACGTGTATATGTGGTGTTAACCGACGTTTCGGAGGAACGTATCTCTTACCGGTTCTCACGGTCTCTTTGCTTGCAGATTTCTTATATATTTTTNTTGAAGCAATACGGGTTACAAAGAATTTCATATGTAAACTCTGAATCTTTCAAGCTTGAGTAATAAGAAAGCTTTATTTTGTTCTCCTCAACACAAAATCATTAAGGGCACAATATATTAAATAAATTTCAGTGCTAAAATGTGGTCTGTGTAATGCTGTCTGCATTGTCTCCAGAGAGATATATCATTAGTAACAGGCGGTTTATAAAAATCTGCCGTTATATAAAGTGAACTAGTTTACAGTTTCGTAAACTGAATTGTGCGTTCAGTGCAGCCAACTTTTGACAAAATTATTCAGACAGGATTAGTGCTCATTTTCTCCTGAAACTCTCAAACAAACTGCACGACAGTCCATAGCCAATTACAAACTTTAAGGAACTCTGTACAGCTAACGAGGTATGTCACAATTAATGAGAATCCGCTATTTGTGGACCCTTAGTGCGTGTTATTCAGCAAGACACCGTTTCTCTTTCCCTTGAAATTTCATTATTACGTGTCCGTTTGTGGTACTGAAACTCGTCGCCCGTATATCTCTTCCAATTCTGTTAAACTTGCTCTTCTGCAGATATTTATACAAGTTTCGTGAGCGTGAGATTTATCATCCTCACAACTCGATTTCGGTTTAAAATAACAACGTCACATCGAGCGTTAACACGCTGCATGAACTTCACGTCTTTATTGGATCACGAATGAGCGAGTGGCAGTTTTTCAATACGTTATGTCTGTTCTGTCTGTGAGTATGTGAAGCTTAGAATATTGTAAGAGAGAGGCGATTTACTATTGAATATTTGTGCTTGTTATTGTTGAAAAATGGCGCCAGATGTCGGTCTCGATTTATCATTCCATAACATGTAGGACTTCAAAGGAACAGAGAGAAAACAGAGTAAGTTATAAGACGAAACACATAAAATGAGAATAATTCCCGTTGGAATCTCAACGGGTGTTACAGTCTTAACTAGTACACGATGCGAACATTCCTTAAAACTTTGTGACAAATGTAAATGACTGAGGCAGGCATTTCTCTGTAAAAGTAAAAAAGTAAAGTAAAGCTATCCCTGTAACAGGCCGTGAACGCCCATAGGGTTGCGAGACGTTGAGGTTCCCACATTATCTACACAATCGGCTCAAAAATGGCGGTAAGATTGTCAGCCTTACGTGCCAGCCACGCTTTACTCCCAAGGAAAATTATTTAATTCCTGGTACTCATTTCTGTTAGAGGCTGAGTCGACCCCAGGACCATAGTGCGGCTGGAAGGATTAGGTCAACTGAAGAAAATCCAATGACCTCATCGGGACTTGAACCCGCGACCTTCCGGCTTGTAGCATAGCCCCTCAATCAACTACGCTACCGCGTGCCCCTGCAATAAAAGTGGCATAGAGACAAATTCACCTCACTGAATAGGCAAACAACTCGTTTGATTGAGAATCAAGTTTTCCCTTCTCCTACCTAAAAAAAATCTAAAAGATCAGAATTCTACCCTTGACTTGTCCCACGCCACTGTACAGCCCACGTTTCTGAGATATAAACTTCATCTACTTAGTTTCTTTCCTTGCGGATTTACGAAGCACTGCACGCAGCATGATGCGGGGTTTGAGGCTCTCAAGGCTGTGATAGGAGCAGTATTGCCTTCCTGGATACGACTTCAAATAGTTTCGCGGAAGTTTACGGATATTTCGGAGGAACCCACTATGTCAGTCTCCAAAGTCGAATACCAAGTATTTCAAAACAAATGTTTACAAAAAGCGCATCATACTTTCTAATAAGATCTAAAAGTTTGTGACGATGGTAAATTGTTACAAGTAATGTGTTTTTGGACGTTATCCATCGTCTTGTCTATTTTTGAAAAACCGTCCTGTTTCTTTTTAAAACACGTTTCGGAGACTGGATTCTGTCCCCGTCCTTAGGAAAAACTCATTCAAGAGCACATCCTTCTGAATTTTCCTTAGGCTTTATAATCCCTGGATGCGCTGAAGTCTTCAGTTATCTTACTATGTGATGTTCTTACTATGTGAACTTCAATGTGTGACGGACTGCTACATTGACTGAGCTCTGTCGTTTTGTTC